ACAAAGTGTTTTTGACAAAACGTTACTAATATCTCTTATTTCTTTTCAGATATCATTGGAACTCATTTGGACTTATAAGTACTCCATTACAACAATGATGATGATTATTCCCAGGAGGAGCATAATTTTCAATTATTATTTTATTGGCTGCATGGAAACCCTAAAAGGAGTCATCCTTCATCTCATAATTACAATGTCTCAAATGTATAGTTCGTCCAGTGGGTTATTTTTTTATCAATATATATGATAGATGGAGAAATATATTTCAATACTGTTTCACTGTAAATCTACTCCAGTTAGGAACGGCGTTGATATCGTTCGACGAAACAAAACTTCCTGGAACAGAATTTCAATAAAATATATCAATTCAAAGTGCTTAGCACGAGTTATTCAAGTCCTGAATACTAATATATACGTAGATATTTTAGCAACTGAATTGAATTCAATAATAAAAAGCGGTTATAGCGCCGTCAACATATTGCGTAAAATATATTAATACACTATGTGGGACCCCTGTAATAGAAATTCAAATTTGAATATCAATATATGAGAGAATATGAAAAATCACAAAATTTTCTCTTTTTTACGTTACAGTGCAATTCTAGCAGGTTCTTTTCTAGGAAATATTAGCAAAAGAAAATAAATACTTTATAAAATTTTAAAAAGTGAGAGAAACATAGATCTTTAAATGTAAAGATAACAAACAGCATTAATGCTCAAAAGACCATTAAACAATACAAACATTGGAGCAGAAAACACGGACCTCCGAAACATCAGAGGTGGGATCAGGTGCCATGGAGGAGTGAGCATCCCCAGCTGACTGGTCACACCCACCGATAACGAACAGTATTTATTCTTAAAAGACCAATTTTGAAAACAAAATAAATTGTGAGCAGATGCCCTGAATGAGTATAAGTATTACATGTCGACTTGTCAGAAGAGTTAATACATGTAACTTTATACATGAATCGATAGACGAAAAATTTGTTTGCAAAAGATTTCATTTTACTTATTTTCTCATTGCAAATGCCGTAGAGCGCTCGTTTCGAGACCGGGAAGTCGTTAGTTCGTATCTCGAACGCGATTGACCTAAGTCGATAAGGAATGGGAAGCAATATGGATATGGAGATAATGAACAGTATTCAATCTCAAAGTCCATAAAACAATACAAAGTAGGAACTGAGGAAATACGAACCTCCGAAACATCAGAGGTGGTATCAGGTGCCATGGAGGAGTGAGCATCCCCTGCTGACCGGTCACACCCGCCGTGTTCTCCTTGTCATGATCAGGAAATAACAGAAAAATCCGTCGTCAATTCATTGTATAAATAATTCATTTTGTCAAACAATGTCTGCCTCTTTACTGACTATCCCCAAACGACACGTATGCATTCGTTGTTTAATCAAGTATGTCTTTTGCGAAATAAATTTCTATATAAACTCAGTAGTCCTGAACATAAAGTTACCATACTGGGACTGAAAACAAACAATTTAAAGTCATTATCAGTAAAAGCAACATCTCGCTATGATATCAGGTGATTTAAGCAAATGTTGTTTTTTTTTTTATTTTCAGAGAGGAAAACAAATAACGGGGATTATTGCAATATTTAAGTAAAATATTAATTCAGTGTAGAGTTTATAGATCTGTCAGAATAATGACGCACAGTTTCAAGTTAAAATCTCAAAGTGATTTCAAAACAAAAGAAATTTTAATGAATACACAGTTAAATAGTTTCACTCATTTTGGCAAAATAAGAGAAAAAAAATCACTTGCTGACACGTAAAAATTTTTTCCGTGATGAAACTCAAATCAAAATAGCAGGGGGTTAGAAATGACTATTTTTGAAATAAAGAGAAAAAACAATGCCTCTGGTATTAAACTATTCAAGGAAGATATGGAGATAACGAACAGTATTCAATCTCAAAGTCCATTAAACAATATACAAAATCAGAGCAGAGCAAAAACGGACCTCAGAAACATCAGAGGAGGGATCAGGTGCCATGGAGGAGTGAGCATCCCCTGCCGACCGGTCACACCCGCCGCTCGCTCGTTGTCATGATCAGGAAATAACGAAAAAAATCCGTCGTCAGTTCAGTGTATAAATAATGGACTAACAATTGGTATGAAAAACGTCAGACAGCATTTGTAAATTGTATTTGCTGACAAGGTTATTGTATCGACCATAGAACTTACGAAATGATTACTTTAAACGAGACTGATGATATTCTTGTTTCATCAACTTGCTTGTTAATAATGTACCTCGTTTAAGAAATTGTTTATACGTAGAGCATGCTCTTGCGTATCGAAACAACGGAGATATATATACTCCGTATGCATGTGATGAAGGTGTATTACTGCATAAGTAAGGGAAGTTGACGATAGGAAAGTTAAAGTCATCCCGTTTATCATATAGCTTGGTTGTTAGATTACCATTAGTGTCTTTTTCAAATAAAATATCCAAATATGAAGCAGAAGTGTCGGACTCCGTGGTATCTTTTATCTCAAGCTCACCAGGATATATCGTATCGACGTAGGAATGGAAATTGTCATTATTAATTGACAATACGTCGTCGATATATCTAAATGTCGAGTTGAAGGCCACAGCAAGTGTTTTGTTCTTTTCACGTATAAGATTTTGCTAATAACGGACTGCAATTTGTACCATGGGAATTCCAATAGATTGTTGGAATACTGGTTTCCAAAACCACATAGATATTGTTAATCAGAAACTCCAGCATCTTCTTGATGTCAACTTCGGAGTACTTATGTGTGAAATCAGAATCTGTTTTAACAAAATGATTTTGCAAATGACCAATGACGAGGTAAATAAATTTACGAGTTCAATTTTTATTGAAGAAGCAGCTGTCAATGATATCAAAAAGCCTGGATTTTAATTTGTCGTGGGGGATTGTTGTGTATAAGGTTGAAAAGTCGTAAGTTCAACAAAGTATTAGAAATAAATACATAATGGATGAAATACATTTAATTTATAAACTCTTCTTTCTAAATTAATGCTGGTATGCCTAAAAGTGTAAGGAGTGTCTGAAATTCAAGTAATAGTACCGATGAGTGAGACTTCGTTTATGTGAATGCAATGATATTTTCTTCTTTTCTTTCTATGAATATCTTTATAGATTTAATTTGAACAGCTATACATGCGACCTTTATTGGCCATTTTCATTTTCATCAAATACTGTTATTTTAGAAATATGACACAATAAAGTTCATACTTTTCCGCCATTTACCATATTTTGCATAAAACTCTTTACTTTCAAGCAGTATTAAATCAAAATGGTATCGATCCAATACTAATTAGTGACAGAAAAATTATGTATGTTCTACACTGCGCTCTATGTTTCCCATAAGAAAAAAACAACAAGAAAAAGACATATTTTTGGCTTTTTTGTTAGATAGCAAACATAGCAATACTTCTCATGTCATTTACAGCCAGTGATTGCACATAAATGTGAAAAATATATTGGAAATATTTCTTATATAATCTCTTCTACAAAATGAATATCAATTAAATATATCTGAATATCATTCTATAATGTTGATTTGTGGGAGGCCAAAATTGGCTCCTATCAAATACATCATTCTAATTTTAAAAGCTCCAAATTAATTGCTTCCTTGTTAGTTTATTCTGAATTGTGAATATCGGAGAATACATTTTATATTAGAAGTACAATTTAAAAAATGCCTGAATTTAGATACATGAGAGAGAGAGAGAGAGAGGGAGAGAGAGTTATTACCTTAAGCAATATTTTAAAAAGATTTATAACTGATTAAATGAAGGAAATATATGTGGTAAAATATTTTACTTAATATTTTTCATCACACTTGAAAAGCATTCTCAAACGATATTGTAATATTAGATATGGATAAAAATTGATCACAGGAGGATGAAAATAACTTAAAGCAATAAAAGCGTTCATCCTTCAATGGAATTTTAGAAAGACTATGCATTGAGTCTTGTCCATAATTCCAATTAATACATAACGCCAGCTTTGTAGAAACAATTCTTTATAAATGCTGCTCAAAAAACATGCATACTAGTTTTTGTATTACTTTTACTGAATAATAACTAAAATTTTTAGTAAAGTCATGAATTTCCTAGCGTTTTGGTAATCACATGCATTTTCTTAAACAACCAGTAAATACATTTATAATACAGTCTATTTATATTCCCTATATAATCTATACTAAAGCAAGCAGTTCATAACACTAGATATTCACTGGATTTGCGGCCGTATTTACCGGAGGCCCATTGCACGTGCAGCTGCATTGTGACGTCACAATCAACACTTCAAATAACGTTGCAAACAATGATTGCAACGGTCGCAGTGAGGTACGTATCTGAGCAAGAAAGAGATTATACAAACCTCAAACCTAGTGTAGGATTAATTTTAAACATTTAGACGTCTTACAAATAGCCAAACTCGGAAAGAAAACACGGAGGAGACAAACTGGACATTTTTTTCAAGGACGGAAGTTCGTAAATGATTATGCCAAATGATGTCGTCTTGCAACCTTGTTTACTCAGATCCGGATAATATAATAAAACAATTATGGACTCTTTTGGTGTTGAATATGGTTTGTTATGCACCAGAAAAATATCCATATTGACCTCGGCTTCGCCTCGGTCAATATGAATATTTTCTGGTGAATAACAAACCATATTCAACACCAAAAGAGTCCATAATTGTATAGTATTTACTGAATGATTAAGGAAATACATGAAATTCCTGATTCCAAATATTTACTGTAACATATACACAACGACAAAAATCTATTGCAATTTTAATAATCTAATTTGTACTAATTTTTGATAAGCAAAACAATACTCAACATAAAATGGTGGTACCTTTCATCGATGAAATATAACGTATCATTATTTCTAAGTTTGCTTTATTAATGAATCAATACACAGAATTTTAATGCTTATTTGCGTTAAATCGTATCGGAAATTTTAAATCACACAGTGTACGCTATACTGTATTACTTTATAAGTAGTATATTATAAAGTCTATGATTTGCAATAAAACTTAGATTCATAATAAGCATGTCAAAACTGGCTCTAGTTTTTCTGTCTAATCATCATCACGGTCCTCTTCAGTGCTTCGAAACTATCATTAAAGGTAACCCATACTGGATAATTATAACCAATCAGAGCAGACGTTGCATACTGCCCGTTGAGATTTGATTGGTAACAGTCTTCGTGCCACCAGGCTCCGTGGTATTTTGTGGCGCAGTCACCGCCACTCATGTCGTTATCCTGATCTTTTGTAGAGAATCTCATACCATTATGGAAATCAATCAAACTGTCACCTAGAAAAGAGTATTGATTACATTAAAGCTAGATGAAATATACAATAATTATCTAGGGTACTACTGTCCACAGGGAAATTTTCGCCCCCGTTTCATCACCCCTTTCGCCAACCCTCTTTTGGGCGAACTTAAAACGGGGCGAATTCAAAGATTACAGTATCATTTCTTAAACAAAACCATAAGTGGGGAATTTAAAATGGGACAAAATTGTTTTCAAGTGTAAAAGGGCGAAAATAACACGGGGCGAAAATAACCCTGTATACAGTATACTACTATTGCAGTAACTGTAAATTGTGATCAAGAAGAGTTCACAACAATGTCGTATAAATGTAACATTGGTTTTAGGCTAGGCCAGAGAATATGATAAAATTAGCTTTAGAATATGTCACAGAAGTTTCATATTTGAAACTTTTAGATTTTTTAAAAGGCTTACAACCAATTTGTTTGAAAAACGAAATGAATTCAGTTTCTTCATCATTAACTTTACATAGAAAATTCCTTTATTGAATATCGTTTACATCTTCCGACATTTCATTCTCGAGAGCATGATAAGAATATTATAAAATTGTAAACGAGGAAGGATACTGCCTGATGTTACAGGAATTAAAACAAATTCATTTAAAGTCAGCATTGAGTATTTAATTTTTTTCGTTTTAATGATTTCTTGAGCAAGATACCGTATCCTTTGGTCGCATTTTGGCTCAAACATTTCATACAAATCTTAGGACTTTTTTATATTAATGTGACTGCGGAATATTCCGCCTACTTGCTTAATACAGGTTCACAGCGAGCGTGTCCAATCCACTTGGGATACTTACTTCTCCAAGGAACCTTATCCGACTTCAGAAATTTCCAGGGTTTGTGAGTTATGTCTTGTTTACATTCATGTATTTATATTGTTTACTTTTTTCACATCGATCACTTATTTTTTTTTTACGTTTTTATGCAGTGAATCTTTTATAACAATAAAAATAAAATGAATACTTTGCTAGAAATTAAAAACATCCGCTGTTCCGTTGTAAGTTGTAAGTAACTTGTTATATCTGCACAAATACTCAGTTCTCACCATATAGGCGGATCGAACTTCTTACCCGCGGTTCCGTTGTATCCAGACACTGCGAGCATATATTTGCTATCCTCGTCTCCGATGTAAAATGTGGAATACACAGCGTAGGCTTGTTCTCCATTATGTCTCTGGAGATCAACTCGAAGTTCCTGGTTTTTCTCTTCTGTTAGGGCATAGATTGCGTCGTTTCCTTTTAAAATGTTTAATATGTATATTTGATAATTGACTTCACAGATTAATTTCATTTTACCGCGAATTTTGCTGTAAAATCTACTGTCAATAAAAGATAATTATAAGGATGCACATTCTGTTCTAAAAATGCCTGTAAATTATTATACCAATTCGTGGTTTGTGAATTTTTCTTCTTGTTAACGTGTGAGTTGTGTAACCGGTACTTTATGGTCTCTGTTTAGGGATTTTTCCGTTTTACCCCCATCATAAGAAGGAGCACACAGCAAGTGTTCTCTCCTATAGGTCAATTCTTTTGTCGTAGCGAATACATCCTTTAGCTAACATAGATTCCATTTAATCAAATGGATTAAATTGACCCATTGACAAAATATAATGTTTCTGAAAATATGTTGATCTTTAATCTTGTAAAAATAATGTGATGAGGATGAATACTGCCTACTTATTTTTTGAATGACATTGATATTATTTACTTACACGATAAATAACGCTTATAATAATAGTTTTATTGATTTTAAATTTCTTCCCTGGTGACAGTGATAAATGAAGCAATGAAAATTTTGGAATAAAAAGAGCTATTATTATTTGATGAGAGATTTTATCTTTCTTGTTTTTTTTTTTTTTTTTTTTTGCTCCTGGTTCTGATCTTGAAAGATCAATGGAACGTTATTCTCAATAAACTTGAAATAAAGGAAAAACGCTTCAGAAACTGTAAGAAATTAAATAAGAAAAGTAATAATTAAACTTTTTACAGACTTAATGACCTCAGTCTCTATTATCGTCAGCTTCAAGTTATTATATAGCAATATTCCAATATCATCTGTTTATGTCCTTTTCAAAATTTATTCATCATGAATTCTTGATTTTGATAATCTTTCTTTCTTACACAATAAGAGGCTAGTGACAAATAAATTAATAACACATGGTTTTCAACATTCTTAATAGATTTTTAAAATGCCATTATTGCACAAATATTTTTCTTCAAAAAGAAGTTGAGAGCTACGTTCTTCGAACGCCATACAAGGGAATGTTACGTAAAAAGGTTAAAAGTGTCTTTTTATTCTATGTCAGAATTAAACGTTGAATGCCGTGTAATTACAACGATTTAAGTGAAATAAAAAAATTCATGCTCGCACTGAATAGTCTGATCGAGGTAATGTACCTTTTATTTACATTAATTTTAAATCTAAATAATATTTTCAGACAAGGCGGGGAATTAAGAAAGAAGAAGAAGAAAGAAATTATGCAAAGCTTAAGAAAATACCTTGGTCGTTAAGATAACTTTATTTTGATTAAGGTCAAATTTTTATTGAGATATATTTGATATTAACCAAAAAAGGCAATGTTTTTATGAAGATATATTTTTAATTGTATGTGTCATATGCAAGTGTTTTTCTTAACTTTTCAGATAAGACGTGAAGTAAAATATGGATATAGATATACATGTACACACACATACCTATCCAGTAGTTCTGAGAGGCGGATCCAAATCCCTGTTTGTATTCTATCCACGTCCTGTAAAAATCAACGTCGCCATCTTCTCGCTTCTGAATCACCTGTGGCGAAAATATGATTAAAATATTGCTCATCTATATGATATAAAAAAAATAGATAGGTAAAGAAGAGAAATGCAGCTCAGAAGTCTACTGAAGGAAAACAAATTGGGACAGAAGCGAACATGAACGTGAACATGCTCCATCAAATCTTAATCGTTGAATATTTTGAAGATATTTTGAACATATATCAGGAATGAAAACTCTACTGATCGAGTTTCTGTCGTCATGTCACAGTAGAGCTCTCTCCAGGTGTTGTCGATGTATAACATTGACAATAAAATAGACTACTCACAGTCCATCCTCCTCCATCTGTCGTCATGTCACAGTAGACCTCTCTCCAGGTGTTGTCGATGTATTAAATTGACAATAAAACACACTACTCACAGTCCATCCTCCTCCATCTGTCGTCATGTCACAGTTGACCTCTCTCCAGGTGTTGTCTATGTATAACATTGACAATAAAACACACTACTCACAGTCTATCCCCCTCCATCTGTCGTCATGTCACAGTAGACCTCCCTCCAGGTGTTGTCGATGTATAACACAGACAATAAAACACACTACTCACCGTCCATCCTCCTCCATCTGTCGTCATGTCACAGTAGACCTCTCTCCAGGTGTTGTCGATGTATAACATTGACAATAAAATACACTACTCACCGTCCATCCTCCTCCATCTGTCGTCATGTCACAGTAGACCTCTCTCCAGGTGTTGTCGATGTGTAACACAGACAATAAAACACACTACTCACCGTCCCTCCTCCTCCATCTGTCGTCATGTCACAGTAGACCTTTCTCCAGGTGTTGTCGATGTATAACATTGACAATAAAACACACAACTCACCGTCCACCCTCCTCCATCTGTCTTCATGTCACAGTAGACCGCTCTCCAGATATCAGCATGGATAACGTATACACCATCGTGTCCTTTTTTGCTTTGCTCCCTTTTCAAAATATCTGAGCAATCCTTGTATGCTATATATATAGCATTTAAAAGAAATTAAAATTAAGTCATTTTACTTAATTATTACTTTCTATTTGCTTGCTAAATGCTTAAAATCGAAATATCAAAATGAAAATTAACTGTAATGTGTACTAGTATTTTCTCCAGGAGCGACATATTCTCATAGACATGAGAAAAAAATTCTTTTCCTTTTAATTGCTTCAACCAGGGATAAATCCTCTAGATTTTTCATTTCTACCATCAATCTAATTGTCGACTAAAATATATATGCAAAGGGAGAGTTTTCATATGGCCGCCAAGAGGCCCATTTATTTTCATAAAAGTATATTTAAATTTATTTCTTTCAAAATTAGTTTCAAGATGAATATGATAATTTTGTTAATAATATTTTCTGAGACGAATTAACACTATAGCTGATACATACTTAGATTTACCCTCAAATTCTTTAACATTACGTTTATTTGAATTTATAAGAGGGTGGCATTTATACTTTGGTGATTAGAATCTGAAGTACATGGGGGACACTCAATTGGTTTTGCTGAGTAATTAGATATACCCTGCACTCTAACATCTAGCAATATGGTCAATGTCGGGTTTGCACTTCATATTAAAAAAAATCTTAATTGCCAAAAAATTGCATATCTAAAGTTAGAACCTTGTAGATACTTGATTATCGCTCGTACTCGTAAATCATGCTCTTTTATCAATAGTCCAAAACCAACATCAAAGACCCTCATTTTTTATTTCATTTCCTAGATGAAACATATGGAGATGACGAACAGTATTCCAGATCAAAAGTCCATTAAACAATACAAAACAGTAACAGAGCAAACACGGACATCCAAAACATCAGAGGTGGGATCAGGTGCCATGGAGAAGTGAGCATCCCCTGCCGACCGGTCACATCCTTGTCATGATCGGGAAATAATGGCAAAATCCGTCGTCAATTCAGTGTATAAATAATGGACTAAAAATTCATCATTTGACTTAATTCTACAAGTGGTAATCCTACTTATACATATACTTCTCTTTCTAAGGAAGAAATTCTAAATCACCTGTCAGTTTTGAATACTTTTAATATTCCACAGAGCCAAAATGAATTTGAACTACCTTATATATATTGGATTCCGAAACTTCATAAGAATCCTTACAAACAAAGATACATTGCAGGTTCCAGTAAATGTTCAACCAAGCCTCTTTCGTTACTTCTCACTAAAATATTGACAGTAGTGAAGGAAAAACTTCAAGAGTACTGTACAACTATATATTCAAGAAGTGGTGTAAATCAGATGTGGATACTTAAAAATTCTAAAGAACTTTTGGACAATTTGAAATCACAAGACTTTACAAAAATCAACAGCATAAAAACTTACGACTTTTCAACTTTATACACAACAATTCCCCACGACAAATTAAAATCCAGGCTTTTTGATATCATTGACAGCTGCTTCTTCAACAAATATGGAACTCGTAAGTTTACTTACCTCGTCATTGGTCATTTGAAAAATTATTTTGTTAAAACAGATTCTGATTGCACACATAAGTACTCTGAAGTTGACATCAAGAAGATGCTTGAGTTTCTGATTGACAATATCTATGTGGTTTTTGGAGACAAGGCATTCCAACAATCTATTGGAATTCCCATGGGTACAAATTGCGCTCCGTTATTAGCAGACTTATTTTTATATTCATATGAAGCAGAATTTATGCAAAATCTTTTGCGTGAAAAGAAGAAAACACTTGCTGTGGCCTTCAACTCGACATTTAGATATATCGACGACGTATTGTCAATTAATAATGATAATTTCCATTCCTACGTCGACACGATATATCCTGGTGAGCTTGAGATAAAAGATACCACAGAGTCCGACACTTCTGCTTCATACTTGGATATTTTACTAGAAAAAGACACTAATGGTAATCTAACAACCAAGCTATATGATAAACGTGATGACTTTAACTTTTCTATCGTCAACTTCCCTTACTTATGCAGCAATATACCTTCATCACCTGCATACGGAGTATTTATATCTCAGTTGATTCGATAGGCAAGAGCATGCTCTTTACATGAACAATTTCTTAAACGAGGTAAATTATTGACAAGCAAGTTGGTGAAACAAGAATATCAACAGTCTCATTTAAAGTCATCATTTCGTAAATTCTATGGTCGATACAATGACCTTGTCAGCAAATACAGTTTATCATTGAATGAAATGCTGACTGACGTTTTTCATACCAATTGTTAGTCCATTATTTATACACTGAATTGACCACGGATTTCTTCCGTTATTTCCTGATTATGACAACGAGCACACGGCGGGTGTGACCGGTCGGCAGGGGATGCTCACTCCTCCATGGCACCTGATCCCACCTCTGATGTTTCGGAGGTCCGTGTTTGCTCTGCTCTCATTTTGTGTATTTGTTTAATGGACGTTGAGACTGAATACTGTTTGTTATTTCCATATCCTTCTTAATGATAAATTGTATTTTCCGACAAGGTCATTGTATCGACTATAGAAGTTACGAAATGATGACTTTAAACGAGACTGCAAATTTACTTGTTTCATCAACTTGTTTTTCAATAATTTACCTCGTTTTATAAATTGTACATAAGTAGAAAATGCTCTTGCGAATCGAATCAACTGATTGATGTAAATTCCTTATGGAGGTAATAAAGGTATATTGCTGCATAAGTAAGGGAAGTTGACGATTAGAAAGTTGAAATCATCACGTTTATCATAGAACTTAGTTGTTAGATTACCATTAACGTCTTTTTTTCAAGTAGAATATCCAAATATGAAACAGAAGTGTCAGACTCTGTGGTATCTTTGATCTCAAGCTCACCAGAATATATCATGTCCAGTCTATTATTTATACACTGAATTGACGACGAATTTTTCCCTTATTTCCTGATCATGGCAAGGATGTTTTAGTAAGAGTTCCGTGTTTGCTCTGCCCCTGTTTTGTATATTTTTATGGACTTTGATATTGAATACTGTTCGTTATCTCCATTTGTTTCATTTATAAAAAAAGAAATAATAATTACCACTCTAAATGTTTCAGTGAATTTTGAAATTCTGACCCAGTTTCTTTCACTGGAGAAACCGATTTAGAATTAGATTTCTCTTAATTTAACTTTGGAATGACTCTAATATTTTACTGCTATGGAAAAGAAATGTGTCAAATAGAGAGAGAAAAAAGAATTACACACTTTTGTATATTGTGTATATTGATAGTAAGTCTACATTCTTATTCAATACGAAAGAACATGTTTTAAATCTAAGTACTCTATATCACTCAATTTTACCGTTGATACTCAGCAATCACGTGACGTCGTGATCCGACATTCCGGATCACCACACCGTGGTTTTCTAAATCATACCCACTCATAATAACAATCATAACCACTCTTTGAAATTGATGACGTGGTACGCAGAAAAATTACGTTATTGTTGTTGCGCATCAAAAAGTTTATTGACGTTTTGCTTTGATTAATGGATAAATAATACATAATTGATTCCTTAAGAATATTAAATCTTTTGATAGTTGTGAGGAGGTATATAATAAATTTATCATTATTACCGTAACTTGATCCGAAGGGCCATATCACGTCTCGTTGACACGTGCGGATCATCAGTTCAAAGTCGTTTGATCTGATGATCAGAGCCTGCCAACGAAATGTGATATGGCCCTTAGGATCAAATTACTGTTTAGATAATATAAATTTATCCGACAAATTAATAAGACGCTGATGAAACAACATAACGACCATAGAATTCACGAAATGCTGACTTAAAACGAAGTTGTTAACTTTATGACAGCATCAGCTGATGTGTCAGTGGCTTGCTTTGGTTTAAGCATTGATCATTTACTAAATGCACGCTCTTAAGTATTAAATAAGTTGAAGGCATTAAACACCATATACAGGAGTTAGCGAAACATTGTTACAAAGATAAGAATAAATAAGGAAAGATGACGAAGGAAAACCAGATGGCGTCTCTGTTGTCCTACAATCAAGTTGCTTGAATGATACATATGGAGATAACGAACAGTATTTAAGATCAAAATTCATAAAACAATACAAATGGGAGCAGAGCAAACACGGGCTCCAAAACATCAAGGGATGGACCATTGTCATGAACTAACTAACAAATTAATCTGTTACCTTTGAAAACTTGCACACATTCACCGCTGATACACATTGCATCCTCGGCACAGACATGATTTAAGCAAAAGCCAATCATGTGCTAAAAGGAATTAATTCAATGAATAGATTCGTTTCATATATAAACAAATATTTCTTTTAGTTATTGAAAAAGGTGAAAATGAAAAACAACAATCGCTCTCGAAGACAATCTAAGACACAATACAGATATGTGAAGGGGGCATAATCTTAGACCCCTGCAATAAGGTGTCTAGGATGAGTTAACACCCCCTCTTAAATGATTCAAACATTTTTACCTTAGGAATATGTTCCCGGTCGACATGAATTGAGCGGCTGTGGGTCATTATGTCACTGTAATTCTGGGTAGCAAATCTTGTGTTCAGTCGACATGTCTTCTCTTCTCGCATCCAATCCACTGAGCGACATAATGTAAACTTGTAACAAACCATCATACACTGTCCAATGCCAGTATCGGTCAATAGCCTAAAGCCCGGGAATGAGAAATTCTCGAAATTGTTAATGATCAAAGTTTTAGGGTCGAAGCACTGTGAGTATTCCGCGTGTAGCAGGCCTAGAAATTGACCAATGAAATAGAGACTGGTCGCCTTTTGAAATGTTGCTAAAACTATTTCAACAGTTTTCTTTAACGATACAGCAAACATTGTTGGTCCTTGGCTTCTGGTTGAGAAGCTGCTTTTGAATTCTAACTTAATCAGACAAAGCTTTATAGCTTTCTTTAAAGATATCGATTATGATTGATGAGGGTCTAAAATTATGTTTTCCTGTTTTTTTTTATTATTATCATTATTATTTAAATGTAGAATAATTTTTTTTCGTTAAAGAATTTTACCTTCAGTTTTGAAGATTACAAATCTATTTATTTTACAACATTGGTAATTACAGCAAATTATGGATTTAAGCCCGCGTGATGTCACTTAAAGTAACTATCTACAGTAGAATTTGAATACGGAGAAAAATCCGGATAAATGATTTAGTTAAATTAGTCAAAAACCAACAAAAACACCTTATTTTTTCATTAAATAAAAAAAAAATGAAAAAAAAAAAAAAAAAACGAAATGCTTTTGAAATGTAAAATTTTAGATTAATCACTGTTTGTATTTTCAATTTCAATGCACTAAATCATTTTGAAGATGAATCAAGAAAAGATATTTTTTTAAGATTTAGAAATAACGAAGGGTAATAAATGTTCGAAGAAATATATTTACAAGAAACGTTTATCAATTGTTCATGAATTTTATATGGGCATAGCGGTTAGTCAACACAAAACTTTTATATGTAATCAATTATTATTAGTGAACTCAAAGTAAAAAAAAACAAAACAAAACGGTATCCGCTAATTACCTCAATACAGATAGAGGAACATTTTCATAAGATCTTCAACTACATGTATCAACTGCTTGGGTGTGAGTGAGAAAGTGAAAACGAATGGCGTGTTAAAAAGGAAAATAAGTTAGATATTCCGTTCTGTAATATGTATGTATTCAGTTGAAATAATAAAATTTTAATCAAGATGTTAAAAAAAAAGAAATTGTCAACTGCATACTGTGCCTCATGACTGATTCAGTAACCCAGGAAAATGCTCTCTTTGGGATGAGTCGCCCGCGTGGCGCAGTGGTTAGAGCGTCTGCTCTACAGCCGCGAAGTAATGAGTAGATCCTTAGGTCGCGGGTTCGAATCCAACTGTGGGACCTGGAGACCGGTCCTTTAGATAAGACCCGTACAAGCTGAGGTACCGTGTCGCATTAGGTGCTGGCATAAATAAGATCCCTCCCTGCTCAATGGCCCTGAGTGCCGAGTATAGGACAAAATGTGCAGCTCTCCACCGGCAAGTGGTGTTATTTCCATCTGAGTAAAAAATTCTCGAGAAGAACGTTAACCAATATACAATCAATCAATCAATCTTTGTGAGACTTTTCTATGTTTTTCATTGATGTTTGTTTAAATCAACATTTTTTTTTAAAATTGCAGTTAAAGTGATTTGTTAATTGTAAAATAGAATTAGAAAGATTGATTTAAGTGTTATATTTTACATGATTTGTTCAGAAATATGTTAAAGCGGAATAGATGAGACATTTTTTTTTTTTAATTTATTATTCAAGTCAAGTGCATGCATCAAATTTAGTTTTTATATTTAAAAAAAAGGCTATGTTTACAAGTCATATAAATAGAATATCACTCATTTTACCTATCTAATAGCTTTAGCAGGTCATAGCTTGCTTTTGAAGGCATTTCCAAATTCCTTTTTGTACTTGTTCCATGATCCTTAAAAATTGTCACCATATTCTTGTTTTTGAATCACCTGTATGCAGCATTGTTTGTCAAGCTGTATGACTAAATATCTTAGATATTAAAAGATTTTCTGATGAGATAATGCAGCACCTTTCCATTTTGAGTTTTTAAAAAAATTGTGTTGATCAAATAAAAAAAAACAGAAATTTAAGACTGATTCATGAAAAGAGACACAGAGACAGCTGTAAAAAATGGGTATAAAAATTGCGCAGATACTATATAATTGTTTAGTTACATTTATTTGATGATCTAGGTTGTTATCTTTTCATTTTTTGTCCTGGAAAAAAGGGAAAGGAGTACGACAAACTGATGGTCGATTTAGATGTCCCTGTTTGTAAAATCCGTAAAATTACCAATCACAGATCCTGTAAGAGTTTGAAGTAAATGGGTGTTTATTTTTGTTGTTTGATGTGTTCTCTGGTTGAATTGTGAATCTAAAAGCAAGAAATCTTAAGTAACCTTTGTGGTAATTTCAATCCATTTCGTATTTTAAACATTCAATATTATAAAAAATTATACAACTTATTTTATGCAAATATATATATCAATTTTCATCACCTTTATTTCCATACAAAAGGAAATCTTAAGGGTATGAACGATATTTTTTAAACTGAGGCAGGCTACTGATTATTACATTATGGCTACTCCAATTCAACACTTGTTTAAGGGGCTAAATTCTGTGAAACTTCTGTTCATCTCAAATTCATTTTATCATATCGATTTCTGCATCTTAACTGTGTATCCAAAACAACGCGTATCCATTCGTTTTTTTTTATCAAGCATGTCTTTTGCTAAATAAATATTTATATAAACTCAGTAGTCCTCAACATAAGAGCATCACACTGGGGCTACAAACGAGCAATTTTAAGTCATTATCAACAAAAACAATATCTCGCTATGATATCAGGTGATTTCAGCAAAAGAAAAGAAACTCTTCCCGTATGTGTTTTTGTTTTTATTTTCCGAGCGGAAAACAAATAACTGGGGTTATTGCGAGATTTAAGTAAAACATTAATTCTCTGTAGAGGATTATAGTTCAGTCAGAATAATGACACCCGGATTCAAGTTAAAATCTCCTATTTTCAAAGTGAATTCAAAACAAAAGCAATTTTAATGAATACGCCGTTAAGTAGTTTCGCTCACTTTAGTGAAATACGGAAAATAATTCACTTGCTGACTTGCTGACACGCAAATTGTTTTTCCGTGATAAAACCCAAATCAAAATGGCAGGGGGTTAGATATAATAATTTGTTTTATTTTAAATAAAGCGAAAAAAAACAATGCCTCTAGTACAAATCTATTCAACAAAGTATTAGAAATAAATACATAATGGGTTAAATACATATCTTATATATGCTTCTTTCTATATTAATGGTGGTTTGCCCAACAGTGTACAGAGTGTCTATTATTAATGTAATAGTACTGAGGAATGAAACTTCGTTCATTTGAATTGTATGATATTTTCTTCTCTTAAAAAATAAAATGATACACTTTTCGAAGCAAGAAAACTGTTCACTAATTACACCGGTTAATCGAATTACTATTTCCTCCTTTGTAATTATGTCACCTTGTCATAGAAAACAACCGAGTAATGAATTGATTATAAAAACGACTCAGTCAGTCAACATGTTAAAAAAAACGACTCTGTCCGTCATCATGTTACAGAAAACGACTTGGTGACGTTAATGGTAATCTAATAACCAAGCTTTATGATAAACGTGATGACTATAACATTTCTATCGTCAACTTCCCTTACTGATGCAGCAATATTCCTTCATCACCTGCATATGCAGTATACATATCTCAGTTGATTCAGTACGCAAGAGCATGCTCTACGTATGAAAAATTTCTAAAACGAGGTAAATTATTGGCAAGCAAGTTGATGAAACAAGATTCAGCAGTCTCGTTTAAAGGCATCCTAAGGTCGATACTGTAACGTGGAATGAGCCAGGCTTTCCTTTTCAAATCAAAACAAGAATTTCTTCAAAGAAAACAAGAATTTATTTACACAAAAAAAAAATAGAAATAAAGAAAAGACAATTAACAAATAAATCACGCAATCACACACACAAACACACTCACTCAAATGATCGTAACCAAAAAAAAATGTTATTTACAATGATAAAAAAAAATGATCAAAAGATGTTTATACAGCTGTATCAACTATCAACACGTGTTCTCAAAAACTCAAACCAATTTAGAACTCAATTTCAATCATTAATAGTATTGTCCATCCATACGACAGTCTCAATCAAGTCCAACACTGTCCTTAAACCTCCCAAGCCTCCGGGGCTGTAGTCCCAGACTGTGGTTGGGATCAATGTTCACAAGTACTGGAGATTCCCGCGACTAAGTCGTAGACATCATCATCGACGTCGTCTTCATCAACATCATTGTCATCATCGTCATCGACACCATCATCAACATCACCGACATCATCGTCGTCATCATCAGATCATCGACATCATCGTCGTCATCATGACATCAGTTACCACGAACACCTCAGCATGGTGCTAAAATATTAACTTTCCTTTATCAGTAAAATAATTATGTACTCTACATATGGTAATACTATAATATAATTATACTGGCTTTAATTAATAACCATATAATTATCTTGAGTTCAATATAACATAACACTTAAATGCTTTCAATATCTTCAGTTTGTTTACAGTTGACATAGATACAAAATGGCTGACAACACTTCCGGTAGCTTACTTCCGCTCAGACATTTAAATGAAAAAGTAATACAGCGAACAAAAATACAATAAAATACAGAAACAGGCTGTTCTTTAAATGTATAGAATTACACTAACAGCGATAAAACTTCTGACGAGAAAACCTATTCTAACACTCTCGCTAACGTCACACCTGAACGCGCACACAGGTAAGTCATTGATGACTGCCTGCCAAGGTGAATTAATGTAACGAATTTTAAAAGTACATTTAACATAACTAAAAAGTACTTGCAAAATATACTTACCACGGTCTGTTTTCCGTGCAGAAATATACTAAAATGTTGCAGTAGACTTGCTGTAAGTCATAGGCACAAGCTGGTGCAAAACTTAACCAATCTGTCCTGACCCTTTACATCGTGTCTTACACGGTGGACAGTTCTGCCGGGAATACCTAGCTATTGTTACCTGTCCTGTCGGCCAGAATTCTGCAAGGAATTCTGGGTGCTTGACCAAAGAGGTGCTCGAAGGGCGAAACTTTATACAAAACAAGGGGTACCCTATAGGTTATATTAGTGATTGTTACAGATACCATGATCTTGTCAGCATTTATCATGCTGACTGACGTTTTTCATACCAATGGTTAGTCCATTATTTATACACTGAATTAACGACGGATTTTTCCATTATTTTCCGATTATGAGAAGGAGCACGTGGCGGGTGTGACCGGTCAGCAAGGGATGCTCACTCCTCCATGACACCTGATCCCACCTCTGCTCCTATTTTGTATTGTTTTATGGACTTTGAGATTGAATACTGTTCGTTTTCTCCATATCCTTCCTTGGTCTTTCAACATTTGATGAGAAAAACCTTCCTTCTTCATTATTTTATAGGAAATGACATGTTTTATATCGTATTATTATGCATACGATACACACGTCGGCGTTAACTGCCCTGTATTGTATTATACAACGACAAAAATGCATACTTATCTTTTTTCCCCAATTCCCAATTTTAACAAACTTATTTGTATTACTTTTTGATTAGTAAAACATAACACAACATAAAATGGCGGTACTTTTCATCTATGAAATAAAACACACCGTAATTTCTATAGTTTGCTTTATTATTGAAGCAATACACAGAATAATAATGCTTATTTGCGCTAAATCGTATCACCAGTGATGAATTACACAGTATTACTTTATAAACAGCATATTGCAATGTCTATGCTTCGCAATAAAAATTACAGCCAGTTTTGACATGCTTATTAAGAATCTATTTTTAAAGGAAACCCATACTGGATAATAATAACCAATCAGAGCAGACGTTACATACTGCCCGTTGAGATTTGATTCGTAACAGTCTCTGTGTCACCAGGCTCCGTGGTATTTTGTGGCACAGTCACCGCTACTCCCGTCGTTATCCTGATCTTTGGTGGAGAATATCATACCATTGTGGAAACCAATCAAACTGTCACCTAGAATAGAAAATTGATTAGTTTAAAACTAGATGCTTGATGAAGCATACAATAATTGTTTTAGGGTATAATACTACTATTGCAGTTACTTACTTCTCCCACTTTGTCGTGTTTACACATTTATATTGTTTTTATCTTTTAACATCGATCACTTCTCATTTTTATGTTTTTATGTAGAGAATCATTTCTAACAAATAAAAATAAAATGATTCTAAGAAAATGGTTTCTTTGCCAGAGATATATAATATTGATAGATCTTTAACTTTTCACTTACCCGCAGTTCCTCTGTTTAAAGTTAAATTGCTGTATTATATCTGTTCAATACTTAGTTCTCGCCATATAGGCGGATCCAAGTATTTATCCGCTGTTCCACTGTATCCAGACACCGTAAGAATATATTTGCTATCTTCATCTCCGATGTAAAATGTGGTATACACTGCATAGGCCTCTTCTCCATTGTGCCCCTGGAGATCAATTCGGAGTACCTGGTTTTTATCTTCTGTAAAGGCATAGATTGCGTCATTTCCTTTTAAAAGTTTTATTTGTATATTAGATAATTGACTTCAAAGATTAATTTCATTTTTTCCCGAATTTGCTGTAAAATCTACTGTCGATAAAAGATAATGATAAGGCTGCATATCCTGTTCTAAAAGTGCCTGTAAGTTATCAAAACAATTCGTGGATCGTGAATTTTACTCTTTGTTAACGTGTGTGTTATGTAACTGGTACTTTCTCTGTTTGGGGATTTTCCAGTTTTACCCCCATCATTAAAAGGAACACACAGCAGGTGTGACCGGTCGGCAAGTGATCATGATATTCAGACCTCCATGGTATCTGATCTAATTTAAGTGGTCAGTGTCTGCTCTGCTTTTGATTGGCTCTGACCTTCTCAACAAATCAAGTAGTTTAATGCTGCAGGGCAAACTGTATACTATCCTACATTGAATGTATGGAATGTATGGAGAAAACGAACAGAATTCAAGCTTAAAAGTCCATTACAGCATACAAAAAGGTAGGGAGCAAACACGGACTTCCAAAACATCATGAGGTGGGATCAGGTGACATAGAGGATTTTCATTCCCTGCTGACCGCTCACATCCACCGTATGCTCCTTGTCATGATCAGTAAATAATTGGAAAATCCATCGACAATTCAATATATAATATCCTATCAATAAGGATGATAAACGCTAGTCAGCATTTGACTTTGATAAATTGTATTTGATTTTTACGTTTTTAGGTCACCTGAGTAAACTCAGGTGACCTATTGCTATCCATTTTTGTTCGTCGTCGTCCGTCGTCTGTAGTGCGACGTGCGTCGTGCATGAACATTTGAACATTTTCAGCTTCTTCTCCAAAACCCCTGAATCAATTTCAACCAAATTTGGCATAGAGCATATATGGGTGAAGGGAAACAAAAATTGTGAATTTCATGGTCCCTGCCCCTCAGGGGCCTGGGGGTGGGGCTAGAACCACTAAAATTAGTGCAATCTTCAAAAATCTTTTTCTTTACTCCCGGACATTAAGCAGTCAAACTGTTGGTATGATTGTAATTAGCATTGAGTCCTCTATCATAATTGTGAATTTCATGGCCCCAGGGTCAGGGGTTCTAGTGCTAGGGTGGGGCTAAACAGATTATATAGTAAAAATGCATTATTTCTTTGAAATTCTTCTATTCTGTTCCTGGGTATCAAATAAACTAACCAAATGCATAGCTATATTAAAAATGACTGCCTCTTCAAAAATTGTGAATTTCATGGCCCCAGGATCAGGGTTCTAGTGCTAGGGTGGGGCTACATAGATTATATAGTGAAAATACATAATTTCTTTGAAAATCTTCTTCTCTGTTCCTGGGTACTAAATAAATTAAACAAATGCATAGCTACGTTGAAAATTGTTTCCTTTTCCAAAATTGTGAATTTCATGGCCCCAGGGTCAGGGGTTCTAGTGCTAGGGCGGGGCTATATAGATTATATAGTGAAAATGAATTATTTCTTTTAAAAACTTCTTCTCTGCTCCTGAGTTTGAAATAAACTGACCAAGTACATAGTTTTGTTGAATAAGACTGTCTCTTCCAAAATTGTGAATTTCATAGCCCCAGGGTTCAGGGTTCTGGTGTTAGGATGGGGCTCTATTGATTATATAGTGAAAATGCAAAAATTCTTTAAAAATCTTCTTTTCTGCACCTGGTTATTAAACCAATGAACTATGTACATAGTTATGAGGAGGAAGGATGCTTTTTTGAGATTTGTGAATTTCAGGGCCCCTGGGTCATGCCTTGTTATGTTAGGGTGGGGCTCTAATGTTTATATAGTGAAAATGCATGAATTCTTTTAAAATCTTTTCCTTTGCTCCGGGTATTATGCCAATGATCTTAGTACATATTTATGACTAAGAAAGCTGCCTCTTCCAAAATGGATAATTTCCAGGCCCCCTGGGACAGAGGTACTTGGGGGGGGGGGGTTACGTAATTTGAAAATGATTTAATGCTTTGAAATACATGCATGCACTTTGGCATTAATCAACAATATTATGAAATAAAATTTATAAAATTTCCAAAATTTTCAAAGATGTGGCCCCAAGGTCAGTTGTTCCTGTGAAATAGGTGCACAACTTAAGTGAAAATTTTCTGTTTGTTACTCTGATCTACCTCTGGGTATTAAGTAACCAAAGTAAGCATGCTAAGTGTATAGTTATGATAAACAATGGTGCATCTTTCAAAATTGTGAACTTCATGGCCTCTGGTTTAAAATTAGATTCATTTAATTGTTGGAAAGTTGTTACATGATACCCAGGTGACTTATAAGGCCCATGGGCCTCTTGTTTGTATAAATCTTCTACCGGTAAATTGGAAAAAAGAAGGTTATTCGAAATGTATGTGGACTATTGTCATATTTATATGAAAGGGGTAAACGCTCGATATAAACTTTGTTTGAATGAGAAGTCAGAGTAAGTTTGAGAAACTTTCTCGACATTGTTTTTGACATCTCAGTCTTGTTAACCATACTCCGTGATGACAAAACATGTTTGCTTTTAAATTAAGCTAACATGAATTCCATTTAATCAAATGGAATTAAACTTCACACATTGACAAAATGTTTCTACATATGAAAATATGTTGATCTTTAATCTTGTAAAAATTATGTGATGAGGATGAATATTGCCTACTTATTTTTTGAATGACATTGGTCTTATTTACTTACTAGATAAATACCGCTAATCATAATAGTTTTATTGATTTCAAATTTCTTCCCTGATAACAGTGATAAATAAAGCAATGAACGGTTTCGAAAAACCGAACTATTATTATTTGATGAGAGATTTTATCCTTCTTTTTTGCTCCTGGTTCTGATCTTGAAAGATAAATGAAATAAGTTATTCTCAATAAACTTGAAATAAAAGAAAACGCTCTAGGACATGTAACAAATCGAGGAAGCAAAGTAATAATTAAACTTTTTTTATAGACTTAATGACCTAAGTCCCTTTTATCGTCAGTTTCAAGTTATTATGTAGCAATATCCTAATATCATCTGTTCATGTATTTTTCACAATTGATTCATCATGAATTCTTGATTTTAATACTTTTTCTTTTTACACAAGGAGAGGCTAGTGAGAAATATATTCATAGCACATGGTTTTCAACATTCACAATTGAAAAAATTCTTCTTCTCAAGAACCACTCGGCTAAAAACTCTGAAACTTATATGGAAGCATCCTCAGTTATGGTAGATTCTAAATTCTTCAAATCATGACCCCCGGGGATAGGGCGGGGCCGCAATAGGGAATCAAAGTTTTACATAGAAAAAGATGGGAATCTTTTTCTCAAGAATCACTGGGCAAAAAAAGCTGAAACTTAAGTGGAAGCATCCTGAGATTGTGTAAATTCTAAATTGATAAAATCATGAACCCAAGGGGTTGGGCGGGGCTGCAAAAAGGAATCAAAGTTTTACATAGAAATATATAGAAATAAACTTTTAAAATCTCCTTCTCAAGAACACTGGGTAGGAAAAGCTGAACCTTATGTGAAAGCCTCCTGGGGTAGTGTAGATCCTAAATTGTAAAAATTGTGCGGCGCATGCTTTGTGTCATTTCTTTCGGACTTAGCCATTCTTTCATGTAAACAAACGAACGAAATACCATTGAAGCTGAATTATGATCTTGGAAAAATTACAGAAACAACTGAATTTCTTAAACTTATCTAAAAGAACAAGTTACTAACCCTAATCCATCGGGTGGTATGCAAGGACTAAGACGTTAAAACGAAATCTCCCGGGCCGATGCTAGACTAACCACAATCAGTCGAATAATGTGAGAGGACTAACCCTAGTTTCTCAAGTGGGTGCAAGACTAACCCTAATCAGTCGAAAAGTGTGCAATTTTAATCCTTATCAATTAAGTGACGTGAATGTTACGTCATAGTCCAATGAGCGCGGGGATCTTGCGGATCTGGGGACCGGTAAAGTAAAGTCTACCCGGTAGTTGTCTTTAGATTATATATTTTTATGATACTTACTCATATAAAAAGGTCGGAAATGAAAAGGGAGAGTTTTCATATGGCCGCTCAGGGGTCCGTTTATTTTCATAAAAGTATTTTTCAATTTTTTTTCTCAAAATTAGTTTCAAGAAGAATATTTTAATTATACCCGCACTTTCTAAAGAAAGATATATTTTAATTTTACACAGTGTTAATCATCTTTTGGGAGATGTTTGTGGGGTCATGTAGATGTGCAGTAAGGTTTTGGAATTTCGATTTTGCCCCGGGGGGTCATGAAAAATTCACCAAAAAGCCCCGTCTTCCCTGAACTCCTTCTACATTTTACTCAGTAGCCTAACCAGCTTTTGGGAGATGGTTGGTGGGGTCTTAGATGTGCAGTAAGGTTTTGGAATTTTGATTTTGCCCTCAAATGCTTTAACTCCTCTTACATTTTACTCAGTAGCCTAACCAGCATGACGCAGATGGTGGGAGGGGTCATGTAGATGTGCAGTAAGCTTTCGGATTTTGATTTTGTCCCAGGGGGTCAAATGGGGGTCGAAAAATGACGTTTTTTAAGGCTCCGCTGAACTCCTCTTACATTTTACTCATAGCCTAACCAGCTTTTGGGAGATGGTTGGTGGGGTCATGTAGTGTGTAAGGTTTTGGAATTTCGATTTTGCCCCGGGGGGTCAAATGGGGGTCGAAAAATGACGTTTTTTGTCATAAAAGCCCCGTCTTCCCTGAACTCCTTCTACATTTTACTCAGTAGCCTAACCAGCTGTTGGGAGATGGTTGGTGGGGTCATTTAGATGTGCATTAAGCTTTCGGAATTTTGATTTTGCCCTGGGGGGTCAAATGGGGGTCGAAAAATGACGTTATTTAAGCAAAAAGCTCCGTCTTCCCTGAACTTCTCTTACATTTTACTCAGTAGCCTAATCATCTTTTGGGAGATGGTTGGTGGGGTCATGTAGATGTGCAGTAAGGTTTTGGAATTTTGATTTTGCCCCGGGGGGTCAAATTGCCAAAAAGCCCCGTCTTCCACATTTTACTCAG